TCTCATGAAGTAGTGGCATTCATTTGTAGTGATTTTGAGCGTCTGAATGAGTGAAATCCAGCAAACGAGTAATACCCACTTTTTCTTTTCCTGCTTGAAAAGGCCGGACTGTACTTCTCGAATTTTCCAGAGTCCCAACCTTTATTTCATTAGTTAGAATAAGCGGATTAGCTTTTTCGTGTATTTGTCAGCAGAGGCTCGTAAGTTCAAAAAAGTGCCGCTTTCTGTATTAGTGTCTGATTTGAAGCTAATTTAGTGACTTCGCTTGATTTTTCGGAAGCTCATTTTGCCGCACTTCAGTGGTGCTTGGTGCCAGTTGCCGAACTTTTCTGTTGCTCGTTTGCTAAAACTTATTTCTTTTTCGCTTCTAATGGTTTCCCGATTTATTTGTTCTCGTTAAGAATCCATTTTTTCCAAGTGCGCTGGAGGGTGAGCGATACACTCATCCTTTTTAAATGCACTTCCAGCAGTTCTGGGTGTGGTTTGGTGAAAAAGGGTTATTTTCAGTAACAACTTTGAAAGATTTCTACGAATTGCAAGACAGATGGAAAGACAGGGAAGTGCTGCAACAGTTTGTTGACGAGCATTTCGATCCCCCGGGATTCGAACTGATCGAGTGGTATCCCGAGGACTGGGCAGCATTCCCGTCAAGCTTCCTCAAAATTGAGGATTATCACTTGAGAAGATGGGCGCTGCACTTGCACAGAATATGGAGGGATCTTTGCAGACGGGTATGCTTATATTTTAACTCCATTTTCACTCATACACAGTTATCGTTTTAGTTGCTCTTAGCAGCAGTCGCAAGCTCGGTTATTTTGTTTGAAATCACAACTGATTTTTGATCTCTTACTTTTAAAATGACGTTAAAGCGGAAGTAGTTCTACGTGCTGTTTTGTGCGATAATTTGGAGGAAATGCGGACTTGTGGGCCAGCCACTTTGATTTGTTGAACAGCTGTCGCAGTACCTTTTTGCCGTCAGTATGACTAATCTGCTGGGCTCCAGGCTCGCCCACGCATCGAATTCTATAGACGTGGATCTTATTTAGCGCAATAATTGACCATTTTTTGCTTCATTCTGGTCCAAAATTGACATTATTTGGCGAATTACTGTCAGGCATGTAGACTGTTCAGGGACTGCTATCGGTATTTTCCCTGGGCTGATGCCCCCTCCCCTTACTTCCTCAGCGGACACTTGATAACTTTACCAGCATGTGATAATTGTCGATAAAACTGCTATCACTAGAAATTACGCACTCTGTTCTGGCCTGATTTCCCAGAAATCATAAACAGTAATTTTGTATTTTTATGATATGTCCTTAGCCTTTACGTGTTTTGTTAATGTTCAAACTTCTCTATATCTGTGAGACCTCTTTCTGGAGTGAATAGTTTACATCATGAATATTTCACAAAAAGCTTTATTTGCGTTCTTTTGAGGTGAAAGACGATGTGCGACTTCATCAGGAGCTATACTCTTTACTTTACGTCCCTCATCCCTTTATTATTCCTGGCGGTCGCTTTCGTGAATTTTATTATTGGTATGTTTTTTTTTAAACTTTTACTAAAAATTTCGAAGAATCTTTGTAAAATCTGCTGAATGAATGATTGGTTCATTTCTAGGAATTTTTATAAAACCATTATTAGAATAATTGAATTTTCTATGTTACAGGGATTCGTTCTGGATTGTAAAAGGCTTACTTTTTTCGGAAATGTATGAAACTGCAAAAGGAATTATTCGTAATTTGGCTTATATGGTTGAAAAGTTAGTATTTTAGCTTTTACGTTGCGGATTTGCTGTTTGAGTCGATTGGAAGAGTAATACCATAAGTTGCAAAAATTTTTTTTTTTTTGCATAAAAGATTACGGCAAATTGCCGGAAGGTTGGCAAAAAAGAATTTTCGAGCTACTTTCAGCTTTGATCCTTTGTCTCTTTATTATTTTCCACCCCACATTTGTGGTTTCTTTTTTTGTGTATTTTTATGGCTCACGCGTTTTCGTCTTTCCTTATTGCTATATTTGTCTTTTATTTTATCGTCGATGCAGCTGGCTACGTTTCCACTCTGTTTTCGCGGCCAGTTAGCCTTTTGTAGAGGTGTCCAAAATGTATTCTTCGATCTCATTGCCCGTTCTCTTATGTTATGTTTCGTTAATAACGATTTTTCTATCGCTTTTCAGCCACGGTTTTGTGCCCAATGGTGGTCGCGTATATTATCTAATCAGATCACAGCCACCGCTACTAACCCCTATGGTTTATGAATATTTTTTGGCCACTGGCGATCTGGACCTTGTTCAGGAGGTTCGCCACTTATGTCTTTTGTGGGTGAAAGTAGCTCAGTGCGAATACATGCTTCGCATGCATCTATTGCGCACAGTTTTTCGAGAATTTGCCTATAGCTGTGGGAGTTTGAAAGTTCTGAGGGCTAAGTCGTGTTGGTGTAGGTTGGTAGCTTGTCCGACAGTCTTTTTGGCCAGTTTCTATAAGTCTTCCGTGGTAATCCACTTAGTGGCCTGCAGAATTTGAAGATGACGAAAGGTGGCAGCAGCTGTTGGCCGAATTTGGGTCATTCAGATTAACCTGTCAAAAGTGTTTTTCGTTGTTGGCAAAAAATGAAATAGTCAGCGAACAAAAACAGAAATAAGATTATTTTCATAGAAATAAATGAATGAGTGTGCAAGCGCTTCGCTGTTGCACTTTGAGGGACTTCTGTTTTAGCAGTGTATTGCTTCTGGCCTAATGCATAGTTGTTTGGGAGATTGTTCTTTGCTCGGCACTTTGGATTTCTGAAGTACGCGACTTCTCTGCGCGAAAGGCTTTTAAGGTGAAGTAGTCAGTACCTAAAATGTGCCGCTGTACTGATTGTTGTTGCAGTTTGTGCTTGTTTATCAGATTGACAGGTTGATGTGGATGAATCAAAAATAAATAAATAGCAGCGCACACCAGAATAGCCTGTGCGATCATGCGTTTTGTGCAATTCCGTCC